AGAACACTGATGGATTTAGACGAGACAGAAAAGTGAACCTGCTAAAAGGAAAGTGAACCATCCACAGATCTCTAGACTACATGATGACACTAAAAGTCTAGGTTGACTGCCTTTTCACACCAAGTGGCAAGAAGGTAAGATATTCATTACTATTGGCATTGTGAAATAGGTGTGGTGCTGGAGGCTTTGTGGTGTATATACTAGGGCTGTCATGGACTAAGGATTTACATAGTCGAATCAGAATCTTCAAGTCCTGGCTATAGTCGACTGATAGTCGAATCATGTGTGTTTTTGTGCACATCGATTGCGAGCCGAAGCTAAACTGAGGCTTATTGTTGACCAATTTGTCTATCTCTCTCTCGCCTGCCTGGTCTTATGCAGCGTTTTGCGTGCATGCCGTGCTGCCGACACCTGTATGCACATCGCATACAGGTGTATTATATCATCTGTTTAAAAATGATATAGTATTCTTTTTGTGGTTAATCAACGCTGATAAATTATCCGAAAGTCCCGCTAGGTGCGGACATCTCAGCACAACACCAGTGAGGCTGTGGCTCTGTCTCTTCAGCAAGTGTTCCTCCTGCCACTACACACATACATGCAACGCCTACACATGCGCACTGACGACCCAGGGTTAGGGTTACAATTTTGGATTTTTTCACGCACTTTAAAAACATTTATTGAAATGTTTTTTTCTTTTTGCATGTTTATGTTTGCATGCTGCGAAGCTTCGACTGTGAGATTGACAGTCAAATAAGGCTCCGCCCATCAAAGCATCGAATCTTCGACTATTTGGGGTCAGCCCTAGTATATACAATTAGATGGTGCAACACAGACTACATTATATAGCTTCCTCCATTTTGGATTCTCCAAGTCTCACTCAAGTATTAGCACTGTCCAGACGTTCTTAATTTGGTCGACAGTACATATTCAACATGTCATTCACTAAAGCTAAACTCTACATAAGAACACAGGATTTACTTCGATCCCAAAGTAACTCCTCTGAAATTACATTAAATTGCTTTTATAAATGTTGGTCTGACAGAGACCTAAAACTTGAAGGTGCATCAATCAGCAGCTGTGTGAACTGAGCAAGGAACTACTCCTTTTCTGCTAATTCAACGTACTAAAAACTTAAGAATTTGCCCCCTGTCCTTTTGAACGAAGAAGGATTTGAAAGGTGTTCCACTTCTCACCAAGCTTCACAAGCCTAAACTTTAACCTGTAAAAAAAAAAAAAAAGAGAATGACAAATGTTTCAAAAGTAAAACGTGGGATTACAGAGGAGTGATATCTGACTGAGGGTTTTTTATCACAGGTTGGTTGGAGTAATTTTATTAAATACTGCAATACTGATGTTATGGTCTCAAGGCCCAAACCCATAAAAAGGAAATTGCCCACATATACATTTGGACAATTATTCATTAATAATAACCTACTTCACACTCTTTGATAATAACATAATTTCCTGCTCTTCACTAACTCTTAATGCATTTAGCGCTGCCTCAGGCTACATTCTCCATTTAGATTAAGGTTCTCCTTCACGTATGTAATTTCCTCCTCTGCCTCTTTTCTCTCTCATTGTGTCTGTGCAGGCATCTTCCTACCTGTTTCTCTCCATCTGTCCATCTGCCTCTCTCACCCTCATCTCTCATTAGCTTGTTATCCATCTTCTTTCTCTCACTTTCTTCTTGTCAGTGTCAGTCATTTTTCTCTGCAGGGCTTCTTCCTGTCATAACTGACACTTGTTTCCCCTCCACCAATCTCCTGCTGACAGCAGCGGGGCTGATCTGAGCAAACTATTTCTCCCCTCATGTAAACATCCATTACTGACCACAGAGAGGGGAGAGGGGGTGGGGTGTAAGATGCCACAAGGCTGACATATTTCAGGTGTCTTGAACAAAACAAACCTTGTGAGAGCTTTGACCTCAATTCCGCAACAGGTGAGGGCAGGAGCTCGCTAAAGACACGAGAAGACATGAGCAACAGCAGCACACGTGGTAGCACCAAGTGAGGCGACAAGAAAAAACTGATATGATCGGTACAGCAGCAATAGTAACGTTTGTTACTAGAATACAAAAGAACTGACAGTTCATTGCACAGTAGCAGTTACCTCCATCAGACATAATCAGTATTATTAATTGATTGATATAACCTTCATCATAACTAAAGTTAATATAAAATTAAAGCTGCAAGCACTGTTGGGTGGGCATTCGCACACATAGTGTTTCAGGGTGTGACGCGGTCGCGCCGTATATTCCGCAGCTCTGCCAATGCTGCTCTGAATTGTCACAGGCTTCAAACACGAAGGACTTTGATAGTTGGCCAACCTGCTAGTAGTCCATCGTAGCATAAAACATGACATTTCCTGTTTCCACCAGCAGGTGGCGCTATGACTTTGAGTAAATGATAGGATTTGGCTGTGTTCAGGGGGGGGACTGTGATATCAAATTATATGAAATTAGGTATAGATGTGAGCATGTTGAAGTTATATTGAAGTTATGACAAATTCCTGTTTCTTGGCGAAACATCGATTTTCGAAGCGTGGACGAAAACTCACTGTTTGTACAACTTTTAATTGACAATGGGTTTAGACTGCACAGTGAAAATTTGAAGTCAATCGGATAAAATACAAAATTTTTCGCCCCACCTGAATTATGTGCAAAGTTTGGTGAGTTTCTGAGCATGTTTAAGCCCCCAAAATTGAGGTTACTGCGCAGAACGAAAGAAAAAATCCCTTCAGTTCCAATAGGAACCTCTCATGTTTCATGCTCGGGTACCAATTACTTGTTCACAGTGGAGTGACACAGATGGCACTCAAGAGTATCTTCAAGGTAATCTTTCACACGAATTATTGCATGTTTTGCAAGTGAAAGTTCAAAGAATTAGCCCGCTGCCTCAGTAGAATGTCAAAATAAAGGGTGATGCTGGAATATTTTGTGTGCACGTTCTGTTCATGCTGATAATTAATCATGTTGTGGGTACTCACGTTCCATCTGGTCCCCACAAGGTTACCATCCATTTTAATGTTAAGGTTTCAATTGTTCTTAGGTTAAGCCTTGGGTTTAGGCATGTGTAGATGTTATGGTTATGATTGATGTAAAGATGATTAAAAGGCTATCACAGGGGGGGAAAACTATTGTTTTTTCTTTAATTTGTGCTTTTATCCTGTAAAAACATGAGAGCTGTGAGAGTGAACTAAAATATAAAATTAGGAGCTGTAAAACAATGAGTGGAAAGACGCTAAAATGCTCAGTAGGGTTAAGGGGAACTGCAAAGTTGGTGATTATTCTCTGGGTTTGTCACAACAAACAACCTGTTAACTTTACACATACTTTGATCTATTTTTTATGCAAAAATATTGATTAGTGTAGCTTTAAAGCAAATTTTGTTGCCTATCCTTTTTGGAGCCATATTTATTTGTACATATTTTATTCAGTCTTCTTTTAGCTCTAGTTTGGTGTCAGCCAACTCTGGAAGGCTCCAACTGACCAAACTATAAGTGCATGCATACAATAAGAAACAGAGTTGGACCTGTACTGCCACAATACCACAAACATGAGAGGTAGATTCTTGGAGATTATAGTAACACTGATGTTCTGTAGCAGCAGATGAAAATCTTGTCAATATTCTCTTTTCAGGTTCAGCTTTAATATTTCCTGTCACGAAACACATTTTACATCCTACCTTCCACTCATTACTTTATCTTGGATGTAACATCAAACTGATCAAGATTTAATGAAGCCTTGGATGATGTAATCTTGCAACGCCAACTGTCAGGTCCTTTTTTTTTATGTCATGTCAGATTCTTGCTCACGCTGGACTCAGTCTACACTGACACTAATGCTCAGGCTGACACAAACTAACTTAAACACCTCGTTTTGCATCAGCACTTTGCTGAAAAGGTCAATCATATGACAATTCAGCATTTTTATAGGCAAGCTGCACCGTCCCTCAGACCTCAGGACTGTCTCAGCATTCACCATCAAAATGTCACCAATCATCTGGAAGGCAAATAATGTAGTAATATAGTGAGGAGAGGATGTTTGATTATTTCATTTTGGTCTTCTTTTTTATATCTTCCCTCTATGTTACCCTCCTCTCTCTGTCTCTAAAAGTGCAACCTGCAAACACATTTAATTCTCCTCAAAGGTGTTACATAGCAGCCGTGATTCAGCGGGTCATTTATTCATAGTTGCACTCATTTATGTTCTGCCAAGACTAATTAGATGCTTAATATTCCTTTCTTGTCACGGTGGAATTAATTAATGCCCTGACCTGACCAAAGAGGAGGGAAAAAGCTCACACTACATTATGAGGGGTTTTTTTCCCCCTCCGTCTGAAATGGATAAATATTAAAATGAAAACTGAAGCCGTTTTCTTCACATTCAGCAGTTCAGAAGCGTGAATAAATAAATGATGTGAGCATAATTAACAATAAACTTGATTTTCGAATAAATATAATAAAAGATGAGATTTTAAAAATACCCTCCTTGCAAACCTAAGGCTGCTTGTGAACAAGCATTAAAGGGTCGGTTAATCTAAATAAAAGAAAAAGATATTTTCTCCCTTAACCTCTGGTGGTATCTAGCCGTGCAGAACGTTTTGGTTGTATTTGTACAGGTCCAGAATACACGAATGAGTGAATTATTTCTAATGTCTGAATTCTTGTTATGATCCCATGATGTCTATGGATTCAATTTCCAGATGTCCAGCTATAAAAAGTTTCTAGCTGGACCTGCAAGTTTAGAAAACAGTTTAAGATTTTGGGAAATATGCTTTATTTTTTGCCATGAGTTAGATGAAAAGATTGATAGCATTGTCATGTCTGTACAGCAAATATGTAACTATAGCCAATAGCAAGTTAGCATATGTGGCAGAAACCAGTGGTCTATAACACTCGGGAAGCTGAAAGTGTCCGACAACGCCACTTGGGATAGGCCCAAGACCCTTAAAGCACACAGATCGTTTTATCAAAATTAGGGGGCAGAGACAATCAAGTAATTATAAAAAAAATATACAATTTTATTCTTTTGTCATATTAAAAACATATGTAATGCGTATTAGAGAAAAAAAACACAAACACCAATCAAATCAACAAACCCACATGCGTAATTAAAGGATCAAAATCAAACAAAGAAAAAAAACAAACCCACATGCAGTATACATCCAGTTAATACCAATATTTACAGAGACAATGTCTGGATATTCAAACACTTAGAACGTATCACTCCAAACCAGTTCTGTGCATCCAGGGCAGATATATATCCAGACACTGTATCAATACACAGCAAAGTTTTATACCGATATCCAGAACAGCAGGAGTGGGAGGAGAAACGCGCCGGGGAGTGTTAACCTCTTAGATAACTGTGGCACCCAGCAGCCTCGACAGCAGCATGCACACGGCTGTAACTCAGTCCCGCTGTGATGTGAAAACACCATTAAAAACAGGGCCACGATAAATTGTAGCAAACAGGCAAACAAGGTACTCACCGCTTTACGGGACACGCCACCCTCAGACCCCGGCAGGGGGGCAAGCAATCCGCGCAACCACATAGCACCCAACTATAACAAATAAGACTATCAGATCTTAATAAACACCAGATAGGACGAAGAGGGAGGCATGCAGCTTACCGAGGCACCCAACGCCAGCAGCCCAGATATTCATCTATCCACACGGGGAATATCCACGGCCGAAACAAAGTCGGCTCTATGAGAGAACGCTCATTAGTGCCACCCGCCCAACAATGCAAACACTGAAAGGAACAAAAATAACAGGGCTTCCTTATCACTCCGCAGTAAACCTTTGGCAACGGCAACAAACGTGCAGCACGCCAGCCCAGACGCGTCTCCACACCCAACAGGAGAAGACAGAAACCTAAATGAGTCTACCACACAGGCTTAAAAAGGCAGCTCTCCACCTCTCCCAATCAAGAGGATGAGCCCAGGTGTGCTGGTGCGCCTTCCCGTGCACAGGTAAGAGGGAGGGAAAAAACCTCATGCTGCCACATCTACCCCCATTTTTTGGGTCGTCTTCCCGACGATAAAGGCCTTTGATGTCATGACCACGGCTGAAAAATTACAGTTTGAAGGTTTGACGTTTGTCTGGAGGTCTCCCAACCAGACCACCTGCCATACTACTCGCAGGCTGAGGAAGCCGATGAACATTCGAATGATGACCGGCCGTGGAACGGGTAGTCCGGCGCATAGCTTGCCCACTTGTACTGGGCTGCTCCTTGGCCAAGCACTTGCGACTGCGACTGAAAAGATGGAAGCAGTGGGCCCTGATCTGGCCTAGTTGCTGCAGAAGATTCCAAGGGACAGGAGCTGGGACACCTAATGTAGTGTCGGACACCCATAGCCACAGGTCACTGTTTGATGACTCATTGAATTGAGCCATACCCAAGGTTAATGGTAGTTCAGTTGGAGGGGGATCAGACTCAACTGGCTGTACCACAGCCTTCAACATGTCGCGATGTACATTCCTTACTTTATGCAGTGCATTCACGGGTGCCACAGCATAAACTGCTCCTCCTGATAAAGTGGTCACCACTTGATGTATCTCCGAGCTCCATAGGTCTCCATAGGCAGTTTATGGCGGCCCCTAGCACCATGATCCCTCACATACATCAACTGTCCCACACTCAGCGGTACATCTCGTACCTGTTGGTCATGCCGCTCCTTCCGACGACTTGCAGTTGCTAGCAGCCGCTCACGAGCACAATCGAAGGCCACCCTTAACCTCTCCTGGTGCTCTGCCACCCAACCTTGCACATCCCCCGGCCTTGGTTCTTCCACACGCCCCAAGAGGAAATCAATCGGGAGCCTTGGTTCCTGACCAAACATCAAATATTATGGGGACTCCCCAGTACCCTGATGGGGTGTGGTGTTATAGCAGAAAAGGACACAAGATAGACAAGAAGCCCAATCCCGCTTCTGTGGCAGGGTCAGAGTTCGAAGAAGATTATGCAGCATACGATCGAAACGCTCACATTGTCCATTTCCAGCGGGATGGTAAGGGGTAGTGCGAGATTTAGTTACACTATACATCAAGCAAAGTTGTTGGATCAAAGTGCTTTCAAAGCTCCTCCCTTGATCAGAATGCAGACGGCTTGGCACGCCAAACTTATAGAACCACTCAGCCACAAGAACCTGGGCCACTGTAGAGGCCCTCTGATCACGTGTAGGCACAGCTACTATGAATTTACTAAACACATCTGTCATGACCAACACATTTTCGAACCCATTTCGAGAAGGCTCCAGCAGTGTAAAAATCAATGGCCAATATTTAATTCGAGAGGCAAGTAGATGGCCCATAAAGTCCTTTGCGACCTGACACCGTTCACACTCTTGCACGCAATTGCAGATGATGTCCGCAGACATCCCGGGCCAATAACAACACTGCCGGACCAATGCTGTGGTCCTTTCGATACCTTGCTTGAGAGCTGCAGGCAGCAAAAATTGGAAAACTCTCACCGTCTGGGCGGAGGACCCGGCGGAACAAAACCCCATCTCGCTCCACCAGGCGCCCCCACTGGCGTAACATCATCAAAGCTGGTTTAGTAAGATGCTGCTGTTCAACTGTGGTAGGTTGGGATTTCTGTCGCCAGAACACCAAAATCTCCTTCAACAGGGGATCATCCTGTTGTAGCGCCTGAAGGTCAGAAACTGAATAAGCTGGCAACGCAGAGACCAGGGCCAATGTAGCTACTACAGGCTGCTCTGACGGTTGCCATGCTGCGGATCAAGAGAAACTTTGCCTCTTGGCAACAACAGACCCTAAACCCGAAGCATACTACCTGGAAAGAGCATCAGCATTCCGGTTACTACGACCGGATCTGTACTTGATCTCAAAATCAAAAGAAGAAAGCTGAGCTGCCCACCTATGTTCCGTAGCCCCCAGTTTAGCAGACTGGAGATGGCTCAATGGATTGTTATCGGTGTACACCATGCACTTGTGACCCAACAAATAGTCTCGAAACTTCTCCATCATAGCCCACTTAAGGGCTAAGAACTCCAACTTCATGAAGGTGTAAGTCACCGTATTGCGTTCCATCGGCCGAAGTCCTCTGCTGGAATAAGCCACTGGTCTCACTCCACTGTCAGTCTCCTGGGAGAGGACAGCTCCCAGGCCACTGTAACTAGCGTCTACCTCCAAAATGTAGGGATGCGAGAAGTCTGCAAAAGCAAACACAGGAGTGGAAACAAGCCGGTCTTTCAGTCCCTCAAACTCTGCTCACATTGCGGGGTCCACACAGCCTCCAGAGCCTTATTCAGGCCCTTCTTGGACTTTTTGCCTGACATCTCAGCCACCAAACGATGCAGCGGGCCCGTCAGCTGGGCAAACCCCTCAACAAATCGACGATAATAGCTGGCAAACCCCAAAAAAGAGCGCAGCTCTGACACATGTGTAGGGACTACAGCTTTCCCGTATGACCTGGGACTCAAGCAACTGATTGATATGAGTCTTCACTGCCTCATACTCTGAGGGCGGAACGCGGTGGTATCTCTGCCTGATTGGGACCTCATCGAGCAAGGGTATGTCATGAGAAAGAAGAGTGGTACACCCCAAGTTGTTTTCATGGGCGGCAAAGACAGAGTCATACTTTTGCAACAATGACCTGACTTTCTCTATCTGGATCATCCAACACTGGCAGAGCCACCGACTCCACCCGATCAGCCACAGAGGAAGAAACAGTTTGGGTGTTAGCAGTTGCCAATGTGGTCCTATCCTCAGTCACACCCGCCGGCAGACTAACAACCTGTGCTGCACTGAGGTTACCCAGACCAGTCCGTGGGTAAAGAAGAACAGCTGTCATACACTATGCCCTTTCAGGAACATACACTGTGCCCTCGACGACCAGCACCAGGCAAGAGGAAACAAGCAGCCCAGCTGGCAACCCAGTCTCAGGTGGCTCCAGAAGCACAGTCTCCCCCGCAAACTGTTCTGAACAAGTACTGGCAACTAACTTTATATGACCTCCTGGTATACGCACAGCTCGCCTACCTCGAACTTTCACTGTGCTGACGCTGGACCCAGATTCTTGATTACCAGACTCATGGCACTGCTGCAATGCCACAACAGGACAAGGAGCCTGTAACACTGCAGGTGACTCAAAGAGAAGGTCCAAGCGCACCAAAAAGTTCTCTATAGCACCGACGAACAACATTCATCCTCAAGATGCCAAGGGAAAAAGACACAGCACCAGGGGGATCCCTCACCACAAGAACTCCACAGCGGGGCATGACCTTTCCACACAACTCTACATCCAGTTCTAAATAGCCAATATAGGGGATTGCCAGACCATTTGCTGCTCGAAGCTGAAGCCAGTTACATGAGCGAAGGCGATCCTGACCCCAAGGTGCAAACTGCTCCATGAAAAGAGACTCAGTCATGGTGGACACCATGGACCCAGTGTCCACCAGGCAAGAAACAACCACACCACCGATAGAGACATCCAAATTTGGGCATGAGGCAACTAATTCACATGCCACACCTTCCTGTGAGCCTGAGGGCTCCCCACCTGAGCTGTGGCTCGACAGCTCAGTGGGTGCTAGTTTTCCGGCTGCCAATCAGACGGGGCCGCCCTAGCACCATCGGAATTTTGACCACTAGCCTTATCTGGACCCAGGCGGGAAACCCTTTCCCCAGTACAGTCCCTGGCCAGGTGGCCGGACTGTTGACACTTCCAACAGATAACAGGACCAGAGCGAAAATTTGATCCCGAGGGACCTAAGGCCTGAAGTGAAGCTACAGCCTGGGTACAACACACGGGCCATTAAATACATGAGGGCTAGAGAAAACTCCTGCAACGTTTCACCCTCGAGCTGTCGCCAGGAGAAGAAAACCTGTTGCAAGGAAATGTAAGACTGATCACACCCATAAAGCTCATTCAAGACAGCAAAGACTTTAGCGGGGTCCCTTCGGTCAGCACTAGAGCAGAATTTAATTTCTTCCTTCGCCTCTCCCTCCAAATGATCAAAGATGAAGAGAGCCTGGTCAGCGGCAGCCAAATGCCAGGAATGCATACATGCCTCAACTTCCTCGACCCACTCGGCTATTCCCAAACCCGTCCTACCATTAAACATCAGACACCTGCGGTCCCTAGGAACAACAACCAACTGCTCTGTTACAATGGGGCAGGGGACTGTGTACCGCTGAATGAGGCGGCAGAATGGAACTCACCCCCCACCAGGGCCCGAAGAAGTGGCACACTCCCGACGGAGTCGCTCGTTGTCTGTCTGAAGCTGTGAAACGAGTTCATTTAGCCGCCGCCCCTCCTCGTCCATGACAGCTGAGGAAGCTGAACCGAAAGCTCCACAGAATAGAAAATTTGGAAAAGTTGGGTCCTAACACCACTAATGTTGTCCTGGATAAGCACAACACAATTAAACAATTTAAAACAATATTTGTCTCTGCCCCTTTAATTAATATATATATATATATATATATATATATATATATATATATATATATATATATATATATATATATATATATATATATATATATATATATATACACACTATTTTTGACAGGATCCTGCCAACAACGCCACGTGTGGCAGAAACGAGTGGTCTGTAACACTCGGGAAGCTGAAAGTGTCCAACAGCGCCACTTGGGATAGGCCCAAGACCCTTAAAGCACACAGATCGTTTTATCAAAATTAGGGGGCAGAGACAATCAAGTAATTATAAAAAAATATACAATTTTATTCTTTTGTCATATTAAAAATATGTAATGCGTATAAGAGAAAAAAAACACAAACACCAATCAAATCAACAAACCCGCATG